CGTTTTGTTTTTCTTCTTTTCTAGCTAGCCAATTTTATTCAACTCCCTCCCCAGACGATGGAGAGGAATGTTGAAGATGAACGTGACGACATGGTGGATATCATGGCCTTGCTGACATTGTTCGATATGAAGATGATAACTTTTTTTGTTGGTGTTGATGTTGTTGTTGTTGGAGCAAAGGCTAAAAATCACTTCAATGATATTACCTTCGTGCTCAGTCATTTGAGGAACAACGTTGCGAATATTTTCTTTGTGCTGCTATGTTCAGTGTTCTACTGCTTCTAGTGTTGTTTTCAACGGTGAAAAAGTGCAGAAAACATGAATGCAAGAAGAAGAAGAGTAACATCTTCAGTGGAAAAATGATACGAAATTCTCATCATTACCAGAGTATTCCGACAAAACTGACAATGACAAAGCTGAAACTAATAGACATGTTTTACACTGTGGAATTCGCAAGATTTGATTTGTTTCTATGCCTGGTAGGATATTGAAGCATTGTTCATGTATTTTTTTTTTTTAATAAATGTAAGAGAGATGTAGAAGCTCTGAAATTTACTTAATATCCAAGTAATATGACTATAGGTTGACATTTCGTGTTTTCAGAAAATAATAGGCCTTTTGTAGGAACATTTTCAATATTCATCAATGTTTTGACACATGAAGTTCCCGCAAAATATTCGGTATTTCAAAATTTTCATGATTTTAGCCGATCTACAGTCGGTTCGAAAGTTGAATAGCTATGTTCGAAATTCCAATAGGTCGCAATATTTAAGATATAGCTTTGAAAATTTGCACATACATTACCACTTATAGGATGATGGGTACTGAAAATGGGATATGTCGGTCAATTTTTTTATAGTCTCCATATAACGTTACTCCCAATATTCGGTATTGAGAACCTTTTTACACCCTTCACCACATTGTTTGTATTATTCTTTGTTCATATGTTTGTAACAGGCAAAAGTAATCGAAATAGACACATGGTTCCTTTTGAGAATATGCATAGAATCATTTTCTGAGTCGATTTATGCATGTCCGTCCGTCCATGTACTTCTGTGAGCGAATTGGATGAAATTTGGCACAGGCCATTGGTTTGACTCAAGGACGAACCCTATTAAAATTTGAGAAAGTCGGTTCAGATTTAGATATAGCTCCAATATATAGTTTCGCCCGATGTTAGGTAAATGGTACACCAAAGTCCCTGAAAATCATTAGATTTGCACGAATTTTGGCATGGCTTACTGCATTAAGTCGACAATAATGTGTGCTAAATTTCGGGAAAATCGGTTCAGATTTAGACATAGCTCCCATATATAGTTTCGCCCGATTTTAGGTAAATGTTCTACCAAAGTCCCTGCAAATCTTTTGATTTGCACGAATTTTGGTATAGCGTACTGAATTAAGTCTAGGATGATGTGTGTTAAGTTTCGTGAAAATCGGTTCATATTTAGATATAGCTCCCACAAATATATAAATGGTGCACCAAAGTCCCTGAAAATCATTAGATTTGCACGAATTTTGGCATAGCATACTGAATTAAGTGTCGAATGACGTGTGATGAGTTTCGTGCAAATCGGTTCATATTTAGATATAGCTCCCATATATAGTCCGATTTTATGTAATTGGTGCCCCGAAGTCCCTATATAACTTTCGATTTGAACGAAATTTTGCATAGAGTAATGAATTAGGTCAAGAATGAAGTGTCATAAGTTTCGTGAAAATCGGTTCAGGTTGAGATTATGTTCCCATATATAGTTTCGTCCGATTTTATGTAAATGGTAAACCAATGTCTTTATATATGTATCGATTTGCACGAAAATTGGCATAAGGTAATGAATTAGGCCAAGTGTGAAGTGTTATAAGCATCGTGAAAATCGGTTCAGACTTAGTTATAACTCCCATATATATTTTAGTCCTATTTTATGTAAATTGATTGACACAACGTACTGAAATTTGTATTCCGACGACGTCTGTTAGGATACATATGTTGAATATATCCAAAGTGGTGAAGGGTATCATATTGTCGGCCCAGTCCGACTTTACTACTTTCCTTACTGGTTCAACCTGATCAAATGATCAATATTATCTCATATTTCAAATTTTTCCCAATATAATCATTCCACCCTTCACCACACTGCGGTACAGGGTATCATGTGTTTGTGTATATATATATATATATATAGCTCCCATATATATTTTCGTCGGTTTTTATGAAAATGGTGCACCAAATCCCCTACATTTCTTTCGATTTGCTCGAAATTTGACATAGCGTACTGAATTGAGTCTAGAATGATGTGTACTAAGTTTTTTTTTTTTTTTTTTTTGAAATATCAGCTGTAGATGTTTCTAACCTTTTTGTGTTCGTTCGATGTAATCAAAAATTGTCCGATAGCAATGTCATATTTATCCAGGTGGCTTAGTGAGCCTACAATCAGTCAAGTGGCATGTAATTTGGCATTGATATCAGAATTACATGTCTATAGAATGATTATAATAGGTTAAAATATTTATATTGATCATAAATTAATTTTATCCGACTTCGTGTCAGTGGTCTTTCGACGACAGTTTATTGTGCATATAAGACCAATATTGTTAGATCTTATTAAAACAAATCGTAGGAACATCACTTGTATTTACACAAAGTGCTGAAGGGCATCATATAGTCGCCCCCTCGTTCTTTTGATCTTTAATTACTGGTTTTAAATTATAATCGAAGTATTCATCTTACATATGGACACGTTTGCATGTTACTTGTTTGTGAATTCAAAATATTGTATTATTAAAACCACTGTTCAAGAATTCCATAAGACAACATAATATATATATATATATATATATATTTGCCTAATAAAAATGCAAACAGAATACAAAATGATTACCGACAAGTTCTGGCTTTGCTTTCAGATACCTCACATGTCAAAGTTCAGTGTTATATTGAAAGACTAAACTTAGATTATCCCTGTCTAGTGTTAAATAGATTTTAAATAGATTTGAAAACGTACACAACTCTAACACTCGCTAAGCAAGTGTAGTCGGGCAGACTACATTCATGGAAAATTCCCTGAAAACACACACACACACATACAAACATACATGCATACATGAACCGGTACATTTTAAGGTGAGACGTGATAGCATCAACACAGAACTAAAGTGTTTTCACCTCTCTGCGTCTTGCCAACGACTAAACGAGAAAAATCCTGGTATTTAACAGTACAAGATAACTAAGTGCCATCATCAAGAAACATAACCAAACATTGGTACACCAAACACTGGCGAGAGTAGAAGAAAAGTTTTTTTCTGATGCTATAAACTCTATCTCTAGACAGGCAATGTTAAGTGAAGGTGTGCCATTCTCATGCAAAGGTATGTTAAGTATTTTGTATGAACAATTTCATGTCAAAAGAAAGTAGTAAGAAAAACCAGTAAGGAAAGTAGTAAAGTCGGACTGGGCCGACTATATGAAACCCTTCACCACTTTGGATATATTGTACATATGTATCCTTACAATTGCATGTCAATGTTCCCTCCAAAAACAAACAAATCTGTAACCTATGATAAATGCAATTTCATTCGGGCAGATTTAGAGTCGTCTGCGTACCATGGAACAAATTTATGAAAAAAAAACAAACGATTTGTAGCTAAATTGATACACATAATCCGATTACGCCTCACTGTTAAAAATTTAATTCCAATCAGACACCCCTTCGACATACATATGGAGGCTATAGCTGCATCTGCGTCAATTTAAACAAAACGCCATAACGTTTTGTGCAAAATTTCGTGTTAATCGGACAAATATTAGGAGTTTGGTGTACCATTTATGTAAAAACGGACGAAAATATATATGGTAGCTAAATCTAAACCGATTTTCACGTATCGTAACACTCATCCTTCTAGACTTAATTTAGTACGCTATGCCAAATCGAATGACATATAGGTACTTTGGTGCCCATTTACCTTAAATTTGACTTAAATAAATGGGAGATATATCTAAATCTAAACCGATTTTCACGAAATTCAACACACATCTTTCTAGACTTAATTCAGTACCCTAAGACAGATTTGGAGCAAATCGAAGGATATATAGAGACTTTGGTGCCCCATTTACATAAAACGATTAAAAATTTGATAGAATGTGTAATTTTTAGGTAATTTAGGCTTTCTTATAAAATAAAGCAATTATTAATGAAGAAAATCAGACAGACATGCGTAAATAGACTCAAAAGTTGATGCACACATATGCACACACGCACACAAAGTATCCTGTGTCACAGGTTTAGATCTGTCTAAACATTATACATCCCCCTTCATAAGGGACCAAAACTATGGCATAACTACGAACAGGGGTTCTATACATAATCCGAAAAGCAAAAATTTACAATTTTTGTTAGAAAAGGGGACTACGACTCTCTATGATCCGATCCGGACCTATATATTAAACATTTTCTGCGAGAATATTATATACCTTCGACGAACAAATGACGGTAAATTATATACACTTCGATTGGGCCTCTAAATACATAGCATCGACCGGCATCCTTTTTATGATGCTATGTCAAAACATGGACTGTAATGAAGATGTTTTCTCGCGTAACGTTTTCACGTCACTTTATTATGCCATAATAATATCAGCAATAAATATCGATCCCTGTAACTATACAATAGATTCATTTATAGTCCATAAAAACTCGCATGTAAGCAATTATATATGAAATTGCCCATACATTTCGTAATATAAGCAACAAACATACCAAAGAAAATGCATAAAATTGTTTTCATAGCTAAGATGTTTGTCGATATGGATATATACAATGTTTTTTTTCTACTCATGTCGTCGCAACTTGGTATGTTGTAAGAATTTTATTGAACTTGATAAGCTTTCACTTTTATTTGTTTTCTGGATACTCATTCTATTTCTTTATTGCGTTCCCTTCTCTTGTTCTTCTTCATCGACACGTGTTAATATGAAACATCAGTGATGAATTGATCCAGGATACTGCTTCCTTTGGGACATAAATTATACATTTGTAGGCAATCAACACCATAGCGTCCAGCTTGTAATGCCATGTGATATGATTTATCGAGATGTTCATGGCCAGGCCTGTTGCAAAACACAAACAAAGGCTAACTTAATTACAACCTCAATGATGATTTATGAAATGTCCATACTTACGTTAGAACAATATTAAGAATTTCGGCAAAGACTCCTTCATGTCGATGAACTTGGGCATTTTCACAGATGGCTCGTAACATACATTGACGCCCATCGGCATTGTTACGACTTATATAGGTCTCCAGAAGCGTGTAAACGAATTCCCTTGATCCATCCTCGTATTCACCATAACGTTCGAATTTATTTTTGATGTCCTTCAAAGATCTGGCAAAGGTGTCTTCCCATTTGTCCCAGGGATACAGTGGCTCGGTGGGTATTGTGTAGTGGCCTCCTTGTAAATTGTACGAACATACCAGTGAACGGAATGATATAGGATCCGCTAAAGTTACTGGCATTGCAGGACCAATGGAGAGCTTGAAATTATTATTAAAATTCAGAGCAAGTAATTTTAAGATTTTTTTTAGTCGATTGCATCGACTATGTAGTGATCTACAAACTAAATTGTAAAGAGTTTCTTTTTTTGATATGTCCACCTTGCACGCAGAATAACTTTTTGGGGTATTTCGTTCTTCAAAAGCACTCTATAAATAAGTTAATATAGATTCTATATTTCCGACCGGACGTTCGTCCATATAAATCTTGAAATGACACTTTTATGATTAGGTAGAAAATTGACTAGAATTAGAGTTGGGTAGTTCCGGAACGAACTGGTTCATATGAACTATTCCGAGAAAGGAACGATCAAAACTAGTTCCAGCTCTTTAATTAATATAGTTCCTTTTTCTGATCTCGTTCTTTTTGATCCCTTTCTTTTTTTCCTTTTTTCGTTCTTTTTTCTGATCTCGTTCCTTTATTCCCATATTCTTCATTCGTTCGTATTTCGAATTGTGTAAATAGCTAATTTCTTTTAATATTTTTATTATGTATAAACAAAAGTATTTTGTGCTTATCGTCCTGCAGTTGAATCCTGTAGCTTCATTTGATTTTTTTTTTTTTTTTAATTTTTGTTCAATTTTCAATTTTTGCATTTATTAACAAATCAGCAGGGAACTACGTAAGCGAAAAAAAAACAGAAAGAACGGTGAAAGAGAGAGATTCAAAGGAACTATGTAGCAGTCGGAACTATATGGAGCAAAGGAACTGCATGGAGTAAAGGAACTACATGGATCAAAAGAACTGCATGGAGTAAAGGAACTACATGGAGCAAAGGAACTAATGGATCAAAGGAACTATTTGGAGCAAAGGAACTACATGGATCAAAGGAACTATATGGAAAAAACAAAAAACGAAAAAAAAGAACGATGAAAGAGAAATGCAAAGGAAGTATGTAGGAGTCGGAACTATATGGAGCAAAGGTACTATATGGATCAAAGGAACTATATGAAAAAAAAGACAAAAATAACGATGAAAGATAGATTCAAAGGAACTATATGGAGCAAAGGAACTATAAAGAGCAAAGGAGCTATATGGAGCAAAGAAACTACATTAAGGAACTAGTTCCTTAAAAAAAGGGACGAGAATGATCGATCCGCTTAGTGAACTCTAATTAGAATTAGTCTAATGATAGCCTTCACCATAAAGTGATGTGCATATTAAGTATGCCATTCGATTTAGTCATGCCCGTCTGTTGAAATTAAGAGAGATCTCGCGATATTTAAAGTAGAGTTTTAAAATTTTGAACATAAAATCGTCCACTTTTTAGGTTTGCCACCATATAACGCTACCATATTTCGGTACTTTGGATTCTCATTGGGTAGAAAAGCTTCTTACCAATAATTATAAATACTTTCCGGGTAGCTTCCATATAATGATACCACCTTTAATTCGGTATTTTGGGGGGTATGAGTACGTTTTCTATCCGAATTAACTATAATTTGATATTTTAGATTATCAATGAGAAAAAAAAATCGCTGCACTAAAAATTGTAAATATGGGCCCAAGTTTCGGGGTATTTTGAGGAGTTTGGCTCTTATTTTAATTTTTAGGTTCTTATGGGGGTCAAAATCGTTCATAAAAACTTATGTTTTGGCACACACAATTTTTTGGTATTTTGAAAGCCTTAGCATCCATTTCAACCAATCTGACTGCGTTTCAACATACATGGTAATTTTATATAAGAAAAATGGTCAATAAAGGGTCATATTTTGAGGATAGCGCCCCATTGTATTTTGAAGGTTTTAGACACATTTTCCCTTTATAGCATCTGTAATTTCGCATACCGGGATATTGGAAGGAAAAACACATCTTTGCTTAAAATGTCTGTTGGATTTTGTTTTGGATGTCTGTTTTGTTTTGTTTGTTAGCACATAAATTCCCTTATAAAGGTCCCGCCATTTTTTCGGTATAATAAAGTTTCTAATCGAAGTGGGCATATCAGATTCCGGGTGAATACAAAAAGTTATGTTCTTCTTCTTTCCCGTTTAATTTTCGACATGTTGAAATTCCTACGCCAGTTTTCCAAACTGAGTGTCTGTGATTTGGAACATCATTTTTTTAGAGCATGAACAATGAACTTGCTACCACATAAAACAAAAAAATTTTCTTCATGGAAAGATACGTCCGATTTAAGGGGACCCCCCCATTCTCGGGGTCAAAACTTTTTTTGATTAAATTCGATTCTACACTAATTCAAGAATGTCTCTGCGAATGGCGGGCACGATAACTCAAAAACTAATAACCCAATCGATTTCAAATTTTTACACGTTTCTCTGTGAGTGTATAGCTATCGTATGAACTAGGATAAAGCCAATCGATGTAGATCTTCCTTATTTTTTAACTTGGTTTTTGGTCAAAATTTGGCGATTTTTCAAAAATATTTTTTCAAAGGTCCGCCATTTTGTTAATTTTAGAGCGAAGTCAATAATCCTAGTTCATACGAGAGCCAGACATGTACTCTTTCTAACACCGTTGGAATTTTCGGATTCCGATGATCCAGAGAGGAGTTATCATGCCCGCCATCAAAAATAAGGACTTTTCTTTAATTACAAAAAACAACAACAAAGCAACAACAAAAATTTTTTGTAAATTATTTTTCTTCTTTTTTAAATCTTCAAATATATATGTGCAAAGGTACAAAACTTAAGAAGCATTGGTATTGATTAGCCAGCCCATTGAAAATCTTGAAAAATTAAAATCGAGAATGGGTGGGGTTCCCTTAAGGAACTTTGAATGCACACCTTGAGGAGGAGGGTTGGGCCAGTTTAATCCATCTTTGGATATGACTTCCAAATTAAAGTCAATTCCATTATAGGCATTTGGATGACCCCATGGCGTATTTTCTACTCATGTTTTGGCATTACTTGGTGGGTAAAAAGTTCCTTGCAAAAAATATTCAATTTTGGTCCAGGTTGTGGCATAGCCACCATAAATGATTACAGATACATATTTAATATTGGTTTTTGTTTCGACAAATCTTTCCATATACAGCTCAAGCCCTATTGCAGGTATTTCTATGGTCCTAGGCGCGTGTTCCAATCGCTAAGACTGCAGATTGATATACTAGACTCTTCATTTCAAATGTAAATCTTGGAAGCTTTTTCGAAACTTCAAAAGACGAATGGACATGGGTAAGATGACTTAGAATTTTACTCTGATCAAGAATATACAAATATACTTTATTGGGTCTCCGATGAAAATATGGAAGTTTTATAAACGGAATTTAACACACACACTCCGCCATATTATAGCTGAACAATTAACTGCACTACACTGTTGTTCCAAAGATATCAATTCAATGCTAATGGACTAATCGAGAAATTACCAACATTTGAATAGCCACTCTTCCTTAATTTGGTAAGAACACAATATGTTCACTTTATCCGCTTTTAGACGTTTACTTACCTTTATTGTCCCGCCATTAGTAAAAATCAAACCACGCCGGCTTCGATGTTCCCGACGAACATCCGTCAAATTTGTAGACGTTTTAATACCAGCCGCAACAAAAATATTCCATGGAATTAACCAGAAGAGGCAAAGCCACAGTTGAATATGCATAACGGTACGATGCTACGAATGATTTGAACGAAACTGATTGAGATGTCAGCGGGTGTGTTAACAAGAAAAGTATTACCGAATCTAAGACGCATTCTAACAAAAAGAAAAATGTGACTCTTTCAAATTTAAGTAGCAATGTTTGTATTTGTTTAGAATGTGTCAATTCACACCCCAATTTTCAAAGTAAATAAAACCGAAATGTCAGCTAGTAAGTCTGGTCTCAAATTATGACGAACAAAAGAACGATAGGCAGTTCTAATTGATTCGTTGATAATGTATGTTTGCGCGTGGACATTATTTTTTGATTGGGGGTTTGGGCTGTGTGTGTGTAGACTTCGTTGGAAATATGTAAATACATACGTAGGTGCCACTTTATATCTTGACCAATGACGTTTGTCAACAAATGAAGAAATATGTGTTAAAAAGACGAAAGTTATTAAGCGGGTTTATTTTCAAATGTGACGAATTCTGTGGGTTGGGCACTCACGACTACATAGGTCCAGAAGTTTGAATAAAACTAGAGAGTGAAATAAACATATCCTTAAAAACTGTTCAAATCTAGTCGTCTAGAAATTTAAATAAATGTTGACAATTACAACAAACAATATTACACTAAATTATGTGTATGCCACAAATACGTTTTGAACTATAAATATGTCCCAACTTAATAATTTAAATACAACACAACAGAACCCAAAATTCCTTAATAGTTTAAAAACTTTCCAATTTTTTTTTTTTTTTTTTTTTTTTTTTGTAATGCACAGATATTTATAATTAAACTTCAGTCAGGGAAATTGCCTGCCTTTAGCAAAAAGTATTTTGAAACACAAACAACGAAAGAAAGAAATTTAATTATTGGCCAGAGATACCAATCAGTTCAGTGTTTTTGTTCATTTTGCTATTGGGGAAAAATAGTTTATAGACATGTCTACAATCTACCCTCAAGATAGGAAAACACAATTTTACATAGATTACATTTATTTTTAAGTGATAAAGTTTCGCATAGCGTAGATAACAAAACAAGGACAAATTAAAAGTTACATCAACCCAAACACAATACTACAAAGTTTTTTTTTACAAAAAACATTGCAAATGTGTACGAAGTAATAAAGAATGGTTTCTGTAGCTCAAAAACTTTATAGAGACGAGTTGAAGTTGGGTGTCTTCGAACATACGGTTTATATCCAAGAGCCAAAGCAGGGAGTCGTTAAAAACAAGCTGAAGTAGGACTTCTTTATAGACAATCTGAAGCAGGGACTCATTACATGCCTGAGCAGAAACAGGTAGTCTAAAGAAGGGAGCTTTCATAAAGACAAAATAAACCAGTAAGGAAAGTAGCAAAGTCGGACGGGGCCGACTATATGATACCCTTCCCCACTATGGGTATATTAAACGAATGCATCCTAACAGAAGGGCCATTAACATGAAATTGGATGAACTAAAATATGTGACCTTTATCTAAATGTGAACCGACTAAGATCAATCCATAAACATGTCATTCGTTAGTTACAATGGGACAAAATTATGTAAATCGATTTAAAGCAAATATCAACATGCTCAATTGTGTACGTTGTACAAAATTCCATGTCAATATTACAAACATGAGGAGTTTGGTGCACCATTTACTAAAAAGAAGATGAAAATAGATATGGAAGCTATATATCCATCTAATTTCAGCAGGTTTTGTTCCTAAAGCCATATTTTGGGCCCTACTTAAAATCGGACGAACATATATATGAGAGCTATATCTAAATCTGAACCGATTTTCAAGAAATTTTATACACATCATTCTAGACTTAATTCAGTACGCTATGGCAAATTTCATGAAAATCGAAAATTTCATGAAATCGAAATCGTTGTAGGGACTTTGGTGAACCATTTACATTAAATCGGTCGAAAATACATATCGGATCTATATCCAAATCTGAACCGATTTTAAAGAACTTTCACACACATCATTCTAGACGCAATTCAGTATGCTATGCCGAATTTCGTGCAAATCGGAAGATATATAGGGATTTTGGCATACCATATACCTAAAATCGGGCGAACTATATATGGGAGCTATATCTAAATATGAACCGATTTTCACGAACCTTAGCACACGTCATTCTAGACTTATTTCAGTACGCTATACCCAAAAAATATATATGGGAGCTATATATAAATCTAAACCGATTTTCACGAAACTTTGCACACATCATTCTGGACCTAATTCAGTAAGCCAAATTTCGTGCAAATCGAAAGATATATAGGTACTTTGGTGCCCTGTTTACCTTAAATCGGACGAAAATATATATGGGAGCTATATCTAAACCTTAACCGATTTTCACGAAACTTAGCACACATCATTCTGGACCTAATTCAGTACGCTATGCCCAATTTCGTGCAAATCGAAAGAGATATAGGTACTTTAGTGCCCCGTTTACCTTAAATCGGACTAAAATATATATGGGAGCTATATCTATATCTGAACTAATTTTCACGAAACTTAGCACATATCATTTTGGACCTAATTCAGTACGCTATGCCAAATTTCGTGCAAATTGAAAGATATATAGGTACTTTGGTGTCTATATCGGACGAAAATATATATGGGAGCTATATCTAAATCTGAACCGATTTTCACCAATTTCAATAGGGTGCGTCCATGGGCCAAATAAGTGAGTTGTGCCAAATTTCATTCAAATTGGATCATAAATGCGACCTGTACTTTGTTTACAATTTAACATCTACAGACGGACGGACGGACATGCATAAATCGACTCAGGGAGTGATTCTATGCATATTCTCAAAAGGAAGCCGGTGTCTATCTCGTTTCCTTTTGCCTGTTACAAACATATGCACAAAGACCACAGTGTGGTGAAGGGTATAAAAAGGGGGTCTTTATAGACGTGCTAGAGAAGGGAGTCTTTATAGATGAGCTTAAGACGGGAGTTTTTACAGACCAGCTGAAGACGGGAGTCTCTGTAGACGATCTGAAGAAGGAAGTCTTTATAGACGAGCTGAAGAGTTGAGTCTTTATAGACGAACCGAAGAAGCGAATTTTTATAGACGAGTTGGGGAAGGGAGTTTTTAAAAGCCAGCTGAAGAAGGGAGTCTCTATAGACAAGCTGAAGAAGTAATTATTTATAGATTAACTGCAGAAAGGAATCGTTATAAACCATCTGAAGAATGGAGTTTCTATACACGAGTTTAAGGAGGGAGTCTTTATAGACCAACCGAAGAATCGAGTCTTTATAGACGGGCTGATGAAGGGAATCTCTCTAGACCAGCAAGTCTTTATTGACGTGTTGAAGAAGGCAGTCTTTTAGATAAATCGAAGAAGCGAGTATTTTTGGAAAAACTGAAGCAGCGAGTTTTTATATAGACGAGTTAAAAGAGGGACTTTTTATAGGCGAGCTGAAGAACAAAGTATTTATCGACGAGCTGATTATGACATTCTACATATAAAACTCCTTAAGCTGAGATTCTTTATAAGGAACAGCTGAAGCTGGGGCATCTGAAACAGAGTGTCTTTCATAGTTCAGCTAAAAAGGAGTATTTATATACACGAGCTGAAGTGGTCTTTGTAGCAGAGAGTCTTTACAGAATAATTGAGGTAGGAAGTTTGTATGTAGAACAGTAGAAGCTGGTATTCTTTATTAAGATCACCTGAGACCGGGAGTATTTTTGTAGACCATCTTAAATAGGGAGTTTTATATACATCAGCTGATGCAGGGTATACGTTATTCAAACTGAAGTCTTTTAAAAAGAACTCTACAGACGAACTCATTATCTACCAAATTCCAAAAAGTAATTTCGTTAAATTAAAAAAAGCTCAAACTGATAAACCCAAAATAACAGTCAGCATATATAACAAACTGGAACCAAGAAAATAATTAAAATTCTGTGGTACTATAATATGGGTTTTTTACCAAATCATGGACCAGCCTAAGCAAAATACTGAAGCTCCACAATTAAAAGCGATTAATTCGACTTTTAATTTTATGGAGATCAGCTGAAACAGGGTATACGTCTATACGTGAAGTGAATCTTAATAGATTAGCTCTAAAGACGTACTAATGAAAATCTGAAGAGAGTCAAACTTTAAGGACTTGTAAAAATGACCTGGCCACAGTCATTATAAAAACGAATCTTAGAAAAACCAATGGGTATCTACACACGGCACAAATCAAATTAAGCAGTCTTAGTTTTAAATTTATAAAAGCCCATTGAGGATAGTCTCAGTAGAGACCAGTAGTCTTATTACACACATTTTAGATGAACTGATAATTGTGTTTTTGAGCCTACAGTACATAAAAACAAACTAGAAGTTGAAAATATATAGCCGAACTGAGTGAGTTTATTTATATAGATATCCTGAAAACAAAATAATAATATGACCCATGAACATGCTTGTAATTTTTTGCCTTATATTGTTGTTTTGTGTTATAATATGTCTTTAACAAAATTTGCCTATCAACATAGTTTAGATATCATATTTAAATTTCATTCTCTCCTCCTGGCCATAGGCAAATGAGAATATTTTTGTATTCTACCATAGACTGGACCTAACATTAAATTAAAGTTAAATATGGTGTCAGTTGCCAGAGGCGTTGTACTTTTACTAGTACCACTTCAGGACATACCGCAAAAAAAAATAACAACAAAAACAACAACGAAAACAAGTATACAACGCAAACATCAGCAATCACGACAGCGACAACGACATGGAGACGAGAGCAAAAACTAGTGTAAAACGTGTTCAAAACGAGGTACGGAGGTACTTGGCAAAATAAGTACAAACCACAGAAAGCATTTCCTTTCAGTTTCCTCGTTAAAGTGACATCTTGTAAAGCTCTGTTATACTTACACACGAACATAGGCACCCAACGCCTTCGTAGAAGTCTCTGAGTGTGTGTGTGTGTTTGAATGTTCATCTATTCAAAAGTGCTTGCGTGTTTGTGGATGGCCACACTCCCATAAATAGAAATACTTGTCCTGGACTGGAAGTGGTT